CGATTTTTCTAAAGGTCTTTCGATGGATAGAATTTAAAACCTATGGCCTGGTTTAAATGCTGGCAAAGTGACAGACATAGACACGACTCAAATACTTTTACACAGGTTGATCAAAATTGTGAAACATAGAGTCAATATCTCTTTGACGATTGGTCAGTCACTCATTGATTGTCACTCGATAATTATGGTTGGATTGCACACGGAAATAGATTTTAGAAAATAGCTGTTTACTTGGCAAGATACCTAACTTGAGTTCTGACTAACCATCCAGCAAATAAAAAGGCCAATGTTTTGCTACTATTCCTGCATTCACCTATTCTTGCTTAGATATTGCCTTTGAAACTGTCGGTATTTGGTTAATCTATTACAAATATCAAGGGGGGAGGAGGAGGAGGAGGGTAGAGCATAACGCTACCTACCACAAAGAATAACCAATCGACTCTAAATACTCTCAATCCAAATTAAACGGACTTCAAGACATTAAGTGAAAGTGAAAACCGAAGTGCTATTTTTAATTTGCCAATTAAAGTGCCTAATCCTCAGCCTCATTGGGTTTGCATTGGCAGCGCTAAGACCCTGAGAGAATGCTTTAAAGTGGAAGCATAATGTTTCATTCTGTTGGGAGCGCGTAAAACGATCCACCACATAAATATTTGCGCAAAAATAGTTTTTTTTCTCTCCTTATGTACTGATGAAAGAATGGCATACTCCTTTGAGAATTCGAATTTACCACCAAACTCGGAATCTATGCTAGGAAATAACGAAAATCAAACAAATGAATGCGCGATTTCGTGGCCTAACTACCTGAACCATGAAAAGGGAGCTATTTAGAGCATGAATCCAACCGGAATTCGTTAACCTCAGGCACAATAATGTCAGACATTATTATTATATCAAATGACAGGCGTCTTGATGGTTATCATTAGCCCTTTAGTTGACTTCAGGCTTCAGAGAGGAAGGTACATCAAATTGAAAAAAGTCGAGAGGGGAGGGGGAACAGAAGCGTGGTTCACAGATGTAAAAGAGACAGGCAGACACAATGGTAGAAAAAAGGTGAGGTGAGTACTGAGAAGTCAACTGCCGGTTAATAGACTTTTTTGCCGTATGTGTATACGTTGCCCAGGGTGCACCACGTGATGTCAGGCATAGATCCATAGTCAATTGAAGTTTCCATCGCATCTTCGCTTATTAGCTACTATTATTTCAATTTTAAAATAGGCGTCACTCATTACCCGTCTTGTGTGAATAATAAGCCAATTCACCTTTGACAATGCTTGCTCAAGGTGGAAAGCGTGTAAACAATCAATCAATCACCAATTGGCATATTATCGAAGAAGCCCTGGTTAAACTGGGCAGATGGGCTATTACAAGCATTAGGTGGGCTAGATATTCAAAACGATCGGTCGCGTGCGATGCGTCAATGCGCCAAACACTCACACACACACGCACGCACACACAACACAAGCAAGCGCACAAGAGCCATTAGCCAGAGGCGGAAAAAATCCAGGGTCTTACGGCCGTTTGCAGCTCTAGTGAGACGAACAGGCACCGACTAATTCGACCAACTGTAACTTGAGTTGGACAGCTCAAACATATAATGGTGTTACCCAAATGTGATATTGGCTTCCACAATTTTGGGCCGCACGTTTAAAACACGTACTTGGACGGGAATCATGGAAACAACCAATTGGAATAACGAGAATAAATCGCTCTAGTAATTCGCTCACTCCATTTAGATAGAAGGGATTCTCCTATATAAAAAAAGCACTTAGGCGAAAATCTGTTTTATGATATTTACTTGGAAAGGACTACTACAGATAAGGCCAAAAATTAAAGTGCAAACATTGCTGCTGTCCTGGGCATCGACACACTCTTCAGGATGCCTAAACAGCTATGCAATATTGGCATTAGGTTGAATAATCCAGGCCAATTGCCAGTGGAGAAATCGATTCACAAGACATCCACATTCTTTCCTACTTAAACAACAATTGACACATAAAGCCTCTCGATTTCCTTAATAAAAATAGTCCGTCAAAAAATATCAGAAAGAGATTGCGTTCAACGTTCGAATTGTGCTTCGACAGTCGATTAATAACAATGTAAATTTTGAGGATTTGTCGAATTTTTATTCGATTTAAAATAAAGCTGGTTGGTCACCATAGTTTAAATAATTTTGTAATTTCTAACTAGCGGTCTACCTCTTTAATATAGGATTGATTGTATATTTATTTATTTAATACACCTGGGAACGCAGGGGTCAAGGGAGTTTAAATGCCCTATAAAATGATTTCCCCTGGTGGACTTTAAGCAATCTCGACTTTTTTTACCTCACGGTGCCTTAAGTGGGCGACTTTAGTGTTAGGTGCTCGTAAGCAAATAGTTAAGATTAGGCGAAAGAGCAGTTGTACTAATGCCAGTAGCAATCAACACGCCCCCTTGGCAAAATATCACGTGCAAGGACGGTGCAGCGACGCATGACAATAGATGATAGAAATGGAAGGGAGTTTGGATCGTCCGAGTGCCATGAGAAGTATCTAGAACAACGCGGTGGCCGCATCTAGCGACACCTAATAAGGGGGTTTATCAAAATACCGACCCAACGAATTTGCTGACAGATGAGGGGGGGGGGGGTATAACCTTGAATTCAACCAATAGAGCCCAATCTTTCGATTATGCATATTAGGTAAAATAACTTATGATAGTTTACATCTTAGGCTTGAAAATGTCAGATTGTTTAAAAGGGGCCATAAAAGTCAGTTCATATCGGTTTAGATTAGTTGAGATAGGTAACATGACAATAATGGACTGTATTCTGTAAGGAGAGGCATACAATATCTCGGTGAAATTCTCGTCTTGTCAACCATTTTTGTTTGTCAAGCTCTGTATTCCATCATTCTACAAGATGACCACCTTGAAACTGCCATTGACTTAATGCATCGATCATTCCAGAGGGGTAAAAAATAAACTTCAATTTTCGTGCCATAGCAATTAGCTAGAACTTATACAAACTATCCGATGTATAAATATATAAGGTTTTCTAATCTCTTAAAGCTCTAAGCACACGTCTCTGTTATCGTAAAAATTTTGCTCAATCTATGTAAATTTGAATTGAGATAAGTACAAATGTCGTTTTTCAGTTAGCACACATTTCAACTAAACTTAATGCTCTCAAATAGCCTAGATGATGAAGGCGTTTTGAATGAAGAGGCACCGATCACTACGTGAGCCCAAGAGGAAACCCTCCAAAAGATGCCTTGCATGAGTGATGCTATTCGATCAATAAAATCAAAGTATTCTTAAATAAGGTGGCATTTCAACTGAATCAGAATGGTTAAAAATAATACCATCGGTAAGGCGTGGGCCAATCAAAACATCACTTTCTAGAACCGAATGATAATAAACCATTTGACCGGTACCACATAAGTTTTCAGAGAGAGAGAAAGAGAGAGAACGCGCGAATACATCGCAATGGACGTCACTACAATCACAGTCCTGTTGATTTGGGTTGTGCGACCACACCTAAACCCAGAAAAACAACGGAGTACAGGCGTGGGTGGTAATTAAGAGCCCAGGGGTAAAGAATGCAGAGAAAAAATGGCACACACGCACACGCACACACATGAACGATACATAGCACTATCCCACGACTGCTGTTGTTGGTACTGTTACACAGGGGGGGGGGGGGGGGGGGGGGGGGTGGAACCTCGCGCCCAGATGCAGAGGAATGAAGAAAGATCACACCACAATGTGAATGTTTTTGAGAACCCTTGATACCAACAGGAAGCGGTCAAGTTAGGTGCATGTACCTGTCACGCAAGAAGTATTCATAAAATCAAAAAGTGGAAGCAGTCCTACCCAACTGCCAATTAGCTATTAACAATGTGATGCGTCCGCGTTAGTACATGCACTCTACCCGTCCACCAATGCCTCGCGTGCCTAATTGAACGTGAATTTGCCCAGAAGGGGGGGGGGAGGGGAGGGGAGTAAGTAGCCTTAAAATGGCTGCAGCGAATTTTGATCAGACACCCTTTGGAGCAAAAGCGTAACATACGGATAGGGCAAATGGACATGTTTGACATTATCACAGTCCCTTAGATATTTGTCCATCGCCAATTAAAACTCCAAAAAATGTTCTTCTTCAATAACAGGTCGATTGTTTGAATTCATTAGGATGGCAATTGAAGTTTACTTCAATTTTTAGAGATTTGAAATATCTTGTGCTAGATATCACCCTAATATTAGGATACCATTCGAACAAGTGATTATGAACAAGACCATAAAAATGTGCTATTTTCTAATATCCAAAGCCCCTAGTTCTGTTCCGTCTTCTAACCGGAAAGCAAAAAGTAACTTGCAAAGTAGAGAAAATCGGAAGCCAAGGCAGATATGCGCACAACTTAGTAGAGTGTAAAAAATTGTAACCCTGGATTAGACAAACAAAACAAGATCTCATTTTCAACGACAAAATCTAAATATAATAATCATGAACCCATCATTGCCTGGATTGCAAAAAACATGGAAAATCGACAAGATTGCAATAGTAGCCAGATGATATTGGTTGCTTATGCTTGTACATTGCAAATTGCACACATCGATTTTGTGCTAATTAGCGGTCGTTAATGGGAGACTTCGTTTACTAACAAAGATCGATATTTGTACAGGAGAAAAGAATGTGGGAAATCTTCCCAAAAGGAGGGCTAAATTTCGGCACCGATGTGGTCACGATGAATGGGCGCAAAAGACTGCCCAATTGGAAAAATAAAAATGCGACAAAAGGAATTCCATTCAACTTCAAAATCAGAAAATTTTCTCCCTCTTGATATTTTGAATTGAAAGGCTTATTTTGGGCAGAGCTATCATTATCGAACACTATATATGGGAGTACCAAACGTGTAGAAGGCAAATTTAACATGGTAAACAGATGACAATTTGAAGAGGGGGAGAGTGACAAAATTCAAACCCTCAAGCAATGTAAGTGGCCTTGAGAATATACTTTTGTTTTAATAGAACTGAAACTTACTGTGCGAGTCGGTTGAATCACTGGGTCTATGTGGGCCTGGACATGGCATTTTGGAGGCCAAGGGGACACAAATTTTGTGAGCTTTCAGGCTAAATAAGACCAATATATTTTGAATCAAGGCATACAAATTTGTTAATAAATTAAATGATGTGTCATTTATTTACTTGCAATAGATACAATGAGGAACACGAAAAGCCAATCGGCCATTGCATACGGCACAAGATGGACGGCGGACAAAACCGGTGAATTTGGTCTCACTCTCGAATCTAGAAGGGAAAATTGCAATTTATATATATATATATATATATATATATATATCCTTGAGTCCAAATAATGGCAAACATACCGATGAGTGTGGGTTGAAAGGGGCAGAGTCATACTGGCTGATCCATTGGAATTGATAGGAACGGTCAGACGACCTGCGGTTGCAAAAAAAGTAAAAAGATAAACAATAACAAAATTTGCTATCATCGAGTTGATGCGGGATGTATACTAATTCGTTAAAAATAAGATCCTAAACATTTCAACGCTTATTCTATTATTGATATTTTTCAGGGGCAATATCGCTTTCCGATACTTTTAGTCGAACAATTCACTGCCCGAAGAGGTGTATCGATTTGTCACTGCGAGTTTCCTTCCTTTTCTTATTGATCGATCAATTACAATTAGACCACTTATTTCACATTCGTTTATACACAAAACATACAATTACAACTCTACACAACTTATTCTAAATTTGTATCTATTGCGAGACGAGTAACTTTGAATCGATTCAACTGTTTCAAGCCTCTTTGAGCAGTTCCATTTTGACGTTGAATGCAGCGAGAAGTGTTGAAACGGATTTTAAGCATTCATTGGTATCAGTTGGGTCGTTAAATGGCACGAATGGGGAGGGGGGGGGGGGGGGGGGGGGCTTGGATTACAACTTTAGGGAAAATATCATCCATACATCTGACGGTTACCATGCAATTCATCTAATATGCATAGGCCATAAAAACGTCAACCTGCGGTCAATGACTCACTACGATAAGACACTAGCCAGCAATTTATTACAGCCCAGACCCACTACCAGGTTAATGCAAGTAACCTTGAGTGACGAAACGGCTACTTTTTTGGCACTAACTGAACGGCTTCGAGATGAAGTTTAAGGTGTTGGAGCATCAAGAAAGATTAAATCTTTTGTGATACTGATTTGACATAGAGAACTGTGATACCATGATTCCAACGACACCCACAGACTAGGAGGAAGATAAGTTTTGATGATCGAAGATGGAGGTGGCCAGAGGTGAAAAATCCCGTTACTCCCATTTTTAATTACTAAGAGCTGCATTTAAGCATTTTAAGACCCTGGAGATATATATTTTTGAATTGTTTATAATGCAGCCCAATCACAATAGACATAAGTAAAATTCGATTGAACCCTATCTGCCTCTAAATAGGCTCCCATTAACTCCGTAGAGTCAGCTGTAGTTTAGGAGATCTGCATAACTGCAAATGAGCAAGATCACGCTCTATTTCGCAACCTAATAATTCCGTAATACTATGTACCAAAAAATTGGATAGGCCTCGAGCCAGCCACTTCTGTACTGTTCTTCGTTAGCGCCAAGTGATTCGTCTTATTCTTTCATCATTTGAAGTCAAGTGAACATAATTTCTTGATTTTATCCCAGGTTGAAATCGAAACCAAATTTATCAAAACTAACAAGTCTATAATGGGAAGTGTAACAGCTATACGAGAACCTCTCTTTAAAGAAAATCGTATTCTACCAACCTTCCTGTTGGCCAGAATTAATCAGTGAAACTAACTAACCCAATCGCTAATCGTGCATCGAGGAATATCAACCTAGTGACTTCTGACTAGAGAGAGAAGTATGAATTTTTTTCAATACCCCTCAAAACTGCGGAATTAAGCATTATCATGGCCGTTGCATGAATGATACAATAAACAAGCTTGAGAAATCGCATGGCTATTCTGCTGTTTCGTATTAGGAAATCGAGATGATTCAGTATGCCATTGTCTAATTTCATGTTTTCCTTTTTCAACTTTGAACAAAGAGCCTGGTTAACCACAACAATTCAATCGGACATACACCAAACTTTAAAGGAGTGTCACCTCTCCAACTTTCAAAAAATCACGGTGAGCAAGCTATTTTAGATGACTAAATTAACTTTTTTCATGTATGAAAGAACACAGCAGGAGTTCTTACCAGTCTGAATAAGATTTGGCTGAAACTCCGACCGCCCAGTAGACTTTGGAGATGCAGGAGCCGCCACACTAACCGAATGGGTGGGAGTAGGAAAAGAGAAGATATTATTTGAGTCATTAGCATTAGGGGAATGAGATTCCGGCGTTGGTTGAAGATTAGCAACTTTAGTATTTCCTTTTAAAGCTGCCTGTGTATCTCTGCCGCTAATTGGTAGACCATTTCCCACTCCTGATTGAATAGGTTGGCAGACCCTACTTGCCAAATTGGACTCATGGGAATTACTTCGATGCAATGGGAACGCAAATTTGATCCTATGTTTGGAAGGAGGAGTTGTAGGCATTTTGATGCCCCGTTCTCGAGAAGTCGAGTTGCGTTGAAAGAAGGAACAAGGAGAATGAGGTGGTGGTGGTGGACTATCATTAGTACTGGTATAGGAAGTTGACATTAGAGCACCCCGTGAGGGAGACTTTTGATGAATAGGCGTCCCGAAAAACTTTGGTACTGGAGTTGAGGGGACTGATAAATCCCCATCAAAGAGGTTCCCTTTGATGACGTTGGATGAATTTGTTCTTTGGGGACCAGGGGAAAGTGCTCTATAAAATCTTTGAAAAGGCACCGGTGTTTTAGCTCGACGGGAGTTCCGATTCAGAGTTTGAGTTGTGAGATCTGTTGGGAATGTTGGGTGATTAAAGGAGAATTGAAGGCTGGACGGATTGACAGAAAAACAAGAGGAAGGATGGGTCTCGAATCCAGGACGAATAGAAACAGGAATAGGGGAAGTGACTTCATTATAATACTCTAATTCAATCGTCTGGTCGGAACTTAAACGACCAGAACGCATGGAGCTTTGATTTGCATAGTTATCACCTACATTATGGGTTGGAGAAAAATCGGAACTATCTTCAAAGTCTTGCGGTCCGGTGACATAAAGTGATGGACTAGAGAGAGGGTCACAATGGAGAAGAATTGACCCATTCTGCCGATCACAATCTGGAGATGGTTCACTCTTCTCGGTTAATCTAATAACCTCTTTAATCAAATTCCTAGTGTCATCTTCGAATGGTTGATCACTCTCAAGTAAGTCTATATTGCTTCGTATTTTTGAAAGGCCCATTAATATTCTGTCGGTGTCATCTTGTGACACACTATAGGCTTTGAGAATAGCCTTCACTTCATTTTCCGGCATATCTAGGAGCTTTAAAAATGTAATATCCCGAAGATAGAGAAGACCATTTATTGTGTCCTTATCAATGCCTAAACAACGGAAGCAAGTGATGGAGCTAGGATATTTCATTAATATCGAGTCAGCAACATCCTCTTCCGCATTGCAAATCTCAGATATTTGCTGGGCTATGTATTCAAAAGTTTTATTCTAAAAAAACAATTGAGAATAACCAACTGTATACCTCTCCATCTTGGATTTCCAAATCCAAAATATCAGAATAGACACGCGATTTTTTTAGTTTATTTCTAAGTGGAGTTAAAACATAATCCAATGTTATATCTATCAAAATCTGCAAATCTGTGCAATATTGTAATGCCGATTTTCTCCCGCTTTCTCGTTGCATATTGGACATCTTGCATCACTTATAAAAGCCGAAAATAAACGCACGATTATCGCGCGTATCGTCTTGCAACCTTGACCTTGTTTATTAGTTTGGCTATTACACGCATTACTGATACATCTTTTAATATATATTTAATGATTTCATAAATTCTTTTTGCATAACTATTGTGTTTTATATGACATAGATTAGCAAAAAATTATTCATAATTTCAAGTAAACAGTTGTAATTTAAATAATTACAAGGCTTAAACCAAAACTATCTGCATTGCAGAATAGTATACATATGAATTCTATTACCATACACTTCTTTTATATTTGAATCTCTGGAATTGAGAACTTGTATAACGCGTCCCTAATTTACAAATTATCATGGATGATGCAAATGTTACTTATAATTACCTTTACCACATATTTTAACTCTACCATTAAGTCTTCCATAATTAATTTTGTCATGAATTATAATTTTTTCCTAAAGATTGAACTTTAACGCTTTTGAACTTCTCAGAATCAATTTTAACTTCTCGATATTTCCTAAGTGCATGTTATTTCACCATGAATATATCCATAGATACATTAGGATTGTAAAAATGTCGAATTAATTATCATTGAACACGAAAGGTGCGGAACTTTTATTTGTTGACTGGTATCTTCGCCGTTTATTTTTAGACTTAACTTCTAGTAATTTCGGAATTCGAATACTTTTGTTCATTAATAATTACAAATTTTAAATAAATTAACTGATTTAGTTACTAGGCTCTACTCTATATTAATTGCAGAAACTGTTTTATGAATTTCGGTCGTTTAATACGCCATTTGTTGTGAAGCGTCCTCTTCCTATTTATCGTATTGAAAGTCCAAAGTTAAAATATATTGCTCCAATTCCGTTGCTACTCAAGAACAAATATAAGGTACAGCTTTTAATTAAACAAAATGATTAACTCGAAATCAACTACGTAATTCTTTTTTTACTTAGCACATACCTGCTATGGTCTTGTAAGCCTCCAAATTACAGAGCATACCGATGCTAAAAGATAGCACGAAATTATTCCAAAATTCTCCAAACGTGCTAATTTTAAGAATAACACCTATGAATTATCAATTTTATGCTTCAAAGAGAAAAGTTTGAAAGAACCCGCCGCCTATGCTGGTACCAGTTGTGATAGATTTGAGAGTTATATATTATGATCAATCGTAGCATGAATTCATTAGGATAAGAGTTTCTATGAATAGGCCCAACAAGACTGGAGCAATGTGGGACCAAAGAGAGTTAGTTTGTGGAAAGAAAAATAAATAAATAAAATAAATATTGGAAAGAAATGAGAGCAGCATATGCTTAGTCTGTTCTTGATTTTTACAGTCATTTTAATACTTCAAGAAGACGCATTTCCTCCTGTTCTCCATATCCACATTCTTCTAGTACCGATCGCCAGGGAAGGAAAATCATCAATTCCGCATTTTGCTTTTGGTGTTCAAAAATCGTTAAAGATGGTAAATATTATATACCCGCCAATTATTACATCATAGTTGGTCATCAAAAATGGTCTTTAAAAGCCAAAATTCAACAATTATATTTTATTTGCTCGAAAATTTTGCATGTCAATGTCTCACAAATTTAGGGTATTAATAAGTATTTTCAGCTTTAGGAATAGTTAGTAATAAATTGACAAGTTAATTTTACTTGGGTAAAAATTGTTCATTTTGTCAAACCAAATGAAACATTAATATCGTAAATAGACGGCATTACTTTCCCTTTTTTCTTAATTCTGAAAGTAATCTCAAATAACATGGTCTTATTTTCCTCACCTTTTTTCGTCGATTAGTCTTGTAAATAGGCCATCTCGTATCCTACGTAACATGCTATTGACCTTAACAAAAGTTTTCCGAATCGAGTCGAATAGAATTTTGGAGGTAATTTGTTGTGCGAGTACAATCTGAATAGATTGCCGGTTATTGGGCTTTTTTCTTATTATAACTACATTTTGGTCTGTACTTACAATTCTCTGGTTGTAATTGAGCATTGAGAAGTGACCAAGATCTTTTTATATTGATAGCAGGTGCGAATCATTATAGTGTAGCGCATTCTCTTCCATGATTTGAGTCGGCTCCTGTCATTATCCATTCTCGTTTCATCACGAGTGATGAATGAAGAACCTTTTAAACTTCCACAGAAGGCACACCACTCAGGAATTATCTTTATGCCAAGTTTTAAAATTACTTCACTCTTGTTTTACTATTACTTTTACCGATCTTTAATACAGTCCTTAATTCTTTTCGCATTTAGTCACGATGGATATATAAATATTCGTGTACAACTTTGACGTTACGTGTTTATATGCGTAGGAGGGCAGTAAGATTCCATTGTATGCATTAATCTTCATCAGTAAAGCGAAAATGGAGATAAATATTCGCTACGAAGTAAAAAAATTCTCACAGCACAAACCAATCAAATGAACTCGTTAACGTATCAACTGAACACACTGGCCAATTAATTTAGGCCACAATGCACATTAAGGTAAACACCTGTGTACTAACGGAAGTAAACTCGATCTGTACTGACATAATCACAAAGGGGCTTTCATTAGAGGGAAAATTAGGAGAAAATGACAGTCTTGCTTTACCAAGAGATACTCGATTCAACATCATTTATTATTAAGTCACAAAAATTGTTATTTAGAATTTGATACAAATTTGGAAAAAATAATTGCTTAATGAGTCAATTGCCAAGTGAAAATAGTTTGTTTAAAGTTTCACAATTCAAAAATCTCCAAATTTATTTGAGTGGAAGGGACAAATTAAGTTGTTTGCCAATCATCATTGCGAATTCACCTCTTCCTCTGGACGGGATTATAGAATACCAACCGCCATCGATCATATGACAGGAGCATTAGAAAGCAAAAAATGATTATTAAGTGGAAAATAAACTATCATATCCATCGGATTGGTTAAATCAATGATATTCTCTACCTTTTTACAATTTACCTTTACGTTAATTTTGTTTCCGAATATCAGTTATGTCATTAACACAATTAATAAACCAGTCACTGGAAGAGCACAATTATTTCCAAGGCACCAGTTGCATTAAACCCTTTTATGAGAAATTATTTTTGAACTGATTGTCATCGCTGTATTTAACCTCAAGTCGCCCTCACCTCCAACTTGCGGTAAATCAACAAACACGCTTTCATTCAAAATAGGGAATTGCCGCTGTCAATAACAGCCATTACAGTGCTAGTGACACTGTCTCTGACTCCTTCAAGCTGAAGGTGAACAAAAAGTAGCCTAAGCAGACTCATCGATTATCACGGAAGGCGATCAGCGCCCAATAAGCGGCTGAGTCTCTTGGAAGTTCCATGACCCTCGTCATAATAGATTTTTACGATGAATTCCATATTATCAATGCTAAATTCAATGAATCATTAATATTGAAAAATTATTTTAACATATTTAAAAAACGAGCCTTTGATAGGAGGAATGGAAATTTTCATAAAATAAATGTCTGTAAAAAGGCGTGAGGAATTTTCTAAGTAAACTGAACGTTTATTTGATTATTTTGTTAACAAATCACATGCGATTAATTCCAAAATTACTTCATTTTGGTTTCTTGCCTTTGAGGAAATTTTTGGCCCAGTTTGTGGTTACATCGAGAGCCTTCGAAACAATCCTGCCAGCCACTTCGTAACCCACCTGCATTCCAATAAAAGCCAATGCTGCCTTCCCCTTTGGAATAAATTTAATTCTCGCAGGCACCAATTCGCTTGTTTCATTCTTCGATTTCTTCGTCAAGGACGTAGCCTCAGATTGCAAAATGAATAACAGTAGGAATGTTATAGTTAGGAATGAGAATAGTGTGATTATCTTCATCTTCGCGCAGAAGATATGCGGAGACCCGTTCCCTCTCAAGGTTATATGAATTATGTCCAATGCACCTTTCTCTCTCTAAATATATGTGTGCATTAAAACTTTTTGATTTGCAAATTAAACATCCTATATGAAAATTATTGTAAGCGACTTATGAAAGGCGCGTCGCTTACTAGACAATATATAAATAAATATGTCTGATACTTAAGTTTCGATTTAATCATATGCGATAAGAACGAAATGAAGCCGCTCCGGATTATTTGGTATATAATACGAATTGGTAAGGCTCAAAGTAAATATTCTTATTGATCATTTTTCATATTATCAGTTACAATGGTAATCCAAAAAGCGTTTAGATAGCAACAGATATTCGTACTAGACAGCGTTTTAACTAAAGGAATAAATTTCAGCAAATGCAAATTGAAATTAAGCTCGAATCATAGCAAGTATGGAATAATTGTAAGTAATTTGGAATGAATTTATAAAAATTAGTATGCAATTTTTTACCTATCTTTTTATTTCAATAATTATTGCCACAATCTGTTTATTTGATCACAACTGAGGTCTTTAAAATCATCACATCTTAAAATATATGTAATCTCGACAGCACTAACCTAGACAGAAATTACTTTATTCTAGATATCGAAACAATAATTTTATTTTCACACCCTTTCTACCACCTGTTAATTTTTGGATATTTTACCAATTTCCAAACGAATATATTCGCAATGTACAACTTAAATGCTTAACTTAACACTGCATTTTAGTCTCCTTTCTTTTATTATAATTTCAATTTCTCTTAGGTTTCTTGCCACTAACCAATCAGCTTTTTATTCAATACGTTTCTTCAGTAGACGTCAATCACTATTATTCTTCGTTATCTACGCTTCGTTGTCAGTATCTGATTATATATCAAAGCATACATGCATGGATATATTTCTGGACCGTCAATGAATACTATAGTTATACCCTATGACTATGAGCATTGGTTTTGATTGGATATAAACCACATAAGTGCGAAATAAATCACAAATACATGGATGAAATTCTTTTTCTAAAAGCATAAATGCTTATATGATTGTTACAAAATGTATCAGAGAAAATAATTAACAATATTTCCGCAATAAAGTGCACTTTTCTCACAGAATATGTGCAACCATAACGAAAGTTAATATTAGTAACGAAAAAACGAGAAATATGCCGACGCCATCAAAATACCAGTGGTACTGAATTAAATTCAAAGTTAAATCAATTACATATTAGCAACGGGTGCAAAGGTGAAAGCAGTGCATTGCATGCTCTCACTTAACTCTTACTTAATATGTCGAAACTCAAAAGAATTTGGATAGACAAGATATGGAAACGATAACGTTTATTTGGAATAAAGTCGACAAAACAGGCTACACAAATGATATGAAGGATTGATTTTTGGAAATCTAATGGGTGTTCAGTTATACATCCTTATAGGGTACGATTCATATTTTCGGTATTAGTGAATAGAGGTCTGATGCCATAATGCTCCTTCAATATAAGTATCCCAAGTTATGGCATCTTACTAAGTAAACGAAGGTATTGTAATGAATTATTCTGTATAAATGTTGATTAGATAAAAAAATAGTAAATATAATTTAGAAGTTGAAGACAGGATGGTTTAAAAGGCGATGTAAAGGAAGTTAGATAGTGAGATTACTGTAAGGCCAGTGAAAAATAAGAAATGTAAACCCTAAAAGTATTTATTCCAATTGCCATGTCTTAAATATTTCTTTACACTGGAATTAACTATTGTATTGAAATAGCATTACATCATGGAATCACGGCTTCTGTACTACTAAGATCTTCATGTACAAAAACCAATAATTTACAATTTAAGCATTTAGCCCTGTGGACGAAGTTAACTTTTTATTACTAAATATGGTTAGATTAAGAAATATATTTTGCGAAATTACTTAATTAGTCACTTTCTATCACTAGGAAAATATAATCTAAATCTAATTTTACAAAGAACTAGTATAATTTTCAAAATTTCTGCCACCTTTGTCTTTTAAATATAATTAATTAATTTGCATATTTAATAATATTTTAAAATATTTTAAATTTCATTATATTAGTTTAAATATATTAAGATATGCATTACTGGAGCATTTGTTTTGTACTATCTGACCGTCCCCACGTGTTTCTTTTATTGACAGCCGCCAATATGCGTATAATCGGGAAACAAATGGGTAAAAATGCTAAGGGAAGAGTTAAACTGACAGCTGAAAACGCCGAAGATATTTGGAATATATATAACATTATTCAAGTTGGAGATAAATTGACTGCTTTCACAAGTCGTAAAAAGAATATTGAGTCTGAATCCGGATCTACGACAACAAGCGTGGTTAAAATGCACCTTACCATCGAGGTTAAGAATATTAATTTTGATCCAGAGGTACTTATCTTTTTAACATTTTTCAAGTTTGTTCTCTGCATATGAACGTAACCGGTATTTTTGCATTATTTTCAGGCTTCGCAAATTTTTCCCAAAGGAACTGTTGCTGTTGAGAATCCACATGTGAAAATGGGCGCATACCATACATTCAATATTGGAATAAAAGATGAATTTACAATTGAAAAGGATTGTTGGGATTCTGTGGCTATTGCTAAGTTGGAGGAAGCAAGTGATCCGTCGAAACAGTCAGATCTTGCTGCTGTGCTAATGCATAATGGGATTGCGAATATTTGCCTAGTCACAAGCTCAACTTCGTACTTTCCGAGTAAAATTGAATGCAATATTCCTCGCAAACGAACACAACTCCCCGCTAATGAACATGACAAGGCCAAGCAACGGTTCTTTGATCAAATTATCCAAGCCATGGAAAGTAATATCCGCTTTGATCGTAAGTTCCTCTTCAAGAATTTCATTCCTTTTGAAATTTGGATCATTTTTTAATTTTAAAATGAATATATTGTTACCTATAGTTTGTTCAGAAATTATTCTACTGTGTTGTTTGTTGTTAGTAGATAAAGGTTGGGGAATAGTTGAGCTAACTTGTACACTCACGTCTACCTAATAAAGCTAAGTTGGCTACTATTTTCCTTCATCGAATTATTTCTTATCAGTGTTTCCTATCGCAAGTTTTTAAGCATTGTTTTTATTCTCCACTGATGAGTATTTGCTGTATCAGTACTGAAAAACATGTCTTTTTGTCGTGGAGACGTTATTTCTCAAAATATTTTTTGCGATCTCTATGTTCTTCACGTCTGCAAAAAAACTTGTCTTATTAAGGTGAAAATATGATTTTGAGCGATTATTAGATACTTCTTTTTAACGATACTATTACTTACCTTCGTATTTTTTCCTTGTTAGATTTTATGCTTTACTCGTTTTGAACGCTAAATAAAGCTTACTCTATATTAACGAGGACTTTCTTTCCCTCTTTCTAGCTAGGATATCAGCTTTCAACTCACAAAAGGTCTAAGATAAACCTTGGAGTATTAAGGAGAGCCTTCCGGTTGCTGTAAAGCATAATGATCTCCAATTTTTATCGCGATAATATAAGTCTTTAACTTAGCGCACCTATTATAACATTGAGATAAATTGGTGTGCTATTGTCCTCAGCCTCAGTAATGGCATTTAGTTGTCAAGAGGTAACTGTGGGTAGATAATCGGCAATCCTCTTATTTTCTGTTGCTTGGACGTAGTGAAGTAGGCGTAAAACTGGTTGAAATATATATTTATTTATTTCAAATGGCAGGCGTTTTGGTAGATATCATTAGCCATTTAGCTGACTTCGGGCTTCACAGAGGGCTTCAATTATAATCATTCCTCTTTTCATTATAGTGGTCAAGTGTGTGCTAGTGGCAAGTCCGGGTTTCTTAAAGGATGAATTCTTCGAATACCTCTTCCAAGTGGCTGCACGCGATTCCGATAAGCACCGTGCGGTGCTGGATAATAAGAGTAAATTCATGTTGGTGCACTCTGCGTCGGGTCACAAAGGTGCCCTGAAAGAGGTACTTAAAGATCCAGCGATTAAAAGACAAATCA